ACAAAATAGCTGAGGCAAAGCGTAAAGCTACGAATAATTTTATTAATGGGTCGAACAATAAATCTAGAGCCTCTTGGGCAGTTATAGACAATAATAGGCCAAACGCCAATAAACAAAATTCAGTGAATCTTGACCCAGATATTCTTAATGATTTCTTTGTTAACGGGTCCTTATTGGTAATTGGCAATGTTATTCATTGTGTCTCAACTTGGTCCATTATCTAACCCTTCTTCAAATATATGCCCTGCTAGCTTTATCGATGTCCCTATTTTTTCCTTTACACAAGTGTCGGAGTGTGAGGTTAGGGGGTTATCCTTCAGGGTTTGAAGTCTAGTGCGACTAGAGACATATACGGTGTTCCAACCAAAGTTATAAAGAATAATATTATCCTATTTGTGAAGCCTTTAACCAGATTGGTAAACAGCTCGTTGTCTTCTTGTGTATTCCCTGATGTCTTAAAGTTTGCGTCTGTTGTGCATATTTTCAAACGCGGCGATAAAGATGACTGCTCGATTTACCCACCTATTAGTGTACTACCGGCAATGTCTAAAATATTTGAACGCGTAATTTACAAGCAAATAATAGCACATGTAGAATCAAATAATATGCTTTTTGAAAACCAATTTGGATTTCGACCACCTGTTATGATGCATATGAAAAACGGAAATTCTGTGCTGCATTGTTTTTGGATCTGTCACGCGCTTTTGACAGTGTATCCCATTACTATTGCATAAAGTTCGATATTTTTTCCGATTTGATCAGGACAGTGTTGACTTAATCAGATCATATCTGTCGGGCAAATCCCAACAGGTTAAGTGTGGAAATAAAATGTCTGAGCGACTTCGTGTCACGAGAGGCGTCCCTCAGGGATCAATATTGGGACCTCTCTCGTTTATACTTTTCTTTAACGATTTTCCTAGGTATTTGGGTGATAATGTAAACTGTTTGTTGTATGCGGATGATGCCACGCTGCTAGTAACGGGTGTTGAGTTTGAGGAAGTGATATCCTCCACAGATCGACTGCTGACCGCGGCAAACGAATGGTGTATTGCCAATGAATTGTGTTTAAATAAAGACAAAACGGTCCAATCATTGTTCAGTCTTAGACAAAATTATGTAAATTTAAATGAGCTATCCTCTACTAAATTACTGGGGATAACAGTGAGTCCTCCCGACTTGAATTTTGAGGCTCATACGGTGGTTATTGGTAGGAAAATTGCCCGAAACATATTTCTGCTACGTAGATTGGTGAATTCTGTGTCGGCTGAGGTGGCCAGAACCTCTTATTTCGCGCTCATTCACTCAATATTGAATTATTGTGTCATTGCTTGGGGTGGTAGTCCAGCTAGTAACCATATATTTGACTTGCAGCGCAAGGCGGTGAGGATCATTGCTAAACTTAACTATACAGATGACTGCCGACACGCTTTCAGACAACTTGATATTTTGACACTACCATCTTTGTTTATACTTGAGTGTCTTCTGTACTGTTACGATAATAAAGACAAATACAGCACGCATGCCGACGTGCATAGTTATGGGACCAGAAACCGTGAAAACATTTACGTTGATTTTTGTCGACTGAGTAGAACGCAAAAAAGTCACATATATATTGCACAAATCTTATTTAATAAATTGCCCATGGGCATTAGATCTTTGCAAAAAAATAAATTTAAAAATGTCATAAGAGCGTCTTTGTTGAGGAATGTGTTCTACTCAGTTGAGGAATATCTGAAAGACAGGACTGTAATTGAGATTTGATTGTTGATTGTGAATTTACTTATTGTATTGAATTATATATGACGAGTGTAAGCCCTGGCATATAACACAATAAACTTATTATTATTATTATTATTAATATCTAATAAACTTCCAAATAAATCCAATGTGGACATCAAGATACGGGAAAACAGGGGAAACAAAAAACAGTGAAAATTAGCAAACCTGGATAGTTTAAACCACAAAACTTAAAAAATTTAATAATGGCATGGACTGCAAGTTGTGCAAGCCATAAGGATTTTTAGAAGGATTTTTTAAGCAGTTGTACAATGGTGTGTACATAGGTATATCTGTCATGAATAGTTGTGGGTCCTCCATCACTTCGTCCTCCCATCATTCATGAACTCATTATTGAATGCATTCTGCTGCTTAAAAGCCTTTTTGGCATTATATTCTCGCTCATTCGTTTCATATGACCAGTCTACTGCAGTCTTTGCAGTCCTTATTTCTGCGATAGTGACTTCCTTGAATAGAAGGTTAAGTTCCACGTTGTATCGTATTTTTTTTTCAAATATTCCCAGCTTATTCTTTGCAGTCTCTGTCATAATCCATGTTCCGGAAATGATTTTTTAAAA